CAGAGAGGCTGACGTTTCGGGCCTAGACCCTTCATCAGAAAAGGCCTATGATGCTGCTTGGCCTGCTGTGTTCATCCAGCCCTGCACCTTGTTGTTTCAGATTCTCCAGCATCTGCAGTTCCTACTATCTCTGAAATATTGTTTCTGTTGGGCTCTGTAAGAATTTTGAATGCCTCAATGAGAATTTCTCTCCTTATTCTAAATTCTAGATAATATTGACTCGGTATCCTCAATTTCTCCTCACAGGGCACATAAGGCAATCCCATTATTCCAGGAGTCAATTTGGTGAACATTTATCACATACTATCTCTTTAGTTAAGGGGGCTAAAACTGTACACAATACTCCAGGTACAGTCTCACCAAAGCTCTATGCCAATGTAGGAGGACATCTTTCTTCTTATATTGAAATACTTTTGTAATAACGAATGTAACAAGACTACAAGGAAGCTATTGTTATTCATAACTGCCATCCTGACAGATTGCGACACTTCTACAGTGTTTAAATACAACTTCTTCCTTATTAATCCAAATCAGGCTTAGTAATGCGTTTGGGGATCAACTTGCTCCACTCTTAAATTTTCTGATTCTGCAGAAATGGTTAAATTGAGATATCAGCTATTGTTTAATGCATCTGAGTTTGTTCAGCTGGCAAAATCCCATAAAGAAACATTAAGCTTTTGCTGCAAAAGCTAACTGAAAACCAGACCTAACTTACAATGAGGGACAGAAGCTTTTTGGAACTGCTGAGCAGCGAAATGACAAACTGCTCCCTAAATTCAATGAAGCTGGGCCTGTCAAGAATTTGGCAGGTTTTGGTTGCAACAGGGAGCTGAAGAGGAGTTTTATTTACTGACCCTGTGTTTTTCTCTCTCTGGTCGTTTGTCTCTCCCAAGGATATTACACAGCTGAGGGAGCAGTAGGGGCTGTTGGCAGTGATGATCCCACGAGCCTAGTTATAATGTTCCAGATGTCTTAAGTGGCTTAGGGCAAGCAACCTTGATCGATTTTCCCCACCCATCCAAAGTCAAGCAAACTTCTGGACTTTTTTTAAAAAAAACTTAACGCTCACCTGTTTTTAACTGGAACCATCGGGCTGGGGGTGGGGCCCATGGAGAGGCAGAAATCAGGACTGACTGGAGATCAGGTACATGTTGCTGCATGTCTTGGCGGAAGTTCTCAATTCCATACATCGTAATTGCTTCAGTAACAGCGGATGGAATGTAAACCTCATTCCCAGTTACAGCGTAGAACCCAATAAACACCTTATTTCTTCTTTCAAGACTTTCAATCTGGAACAAAATAGTTTTTTAATGTCTCCTACATCACAATCTTGCTGACACTTCAGAAGTACTTCATTGGCCAAAACACAGTTTGGAAGGTTCTGAGGCCACGAAAGCCATGAAGAAATGTATTTTTATTGAATCTACCTTGTTTAATGTTATGTGAATGGAGATCTTTTAATAATTTTCGCACAGAATGGTGTTTTGAAAGGAACAGCCAACTCATGTGAACATAAAAACAGGAGCAGGCTATTCAGCCCCTCAAACTTGCTCTGTCATTCAATTAGACCAGGCTTGTCATAAACATGTATGAAGTGTTAACATACATTGTTCCATGAATCGAACTAATTGTCTTAGTCCCACATCCAATGGTAACTTACCCAATAAACATCTATCATTCTACATCTTCAAAAGTCAACTGACTTTCAGGTTTCACACTCTTTTGGAGGAAAGAGTCCCTACACTTTGTGTGAAAGAAATACCTGCTGATTCCCTAAAAGCTCCAGCTTTAAGATGGTGTCCTCATAACTTGATTGGTCTGCAAAGGAAACAGTTTCCTATCCTACTGAACCTTTACCACATTGGGTCACCACTGAATTGTGATACAAGCCAAGCTATGCAAACTCTCCTTAAGAATACAAACCTTTTAGCCCCAGTATCATTCTGGTGAATCTATGCTGTAACCCTTTCAAGGTTAATGCAGGAAATTTGATTTTTTTTCACAGTTCAAATGTTTGTCTGCACTTACATGCTAGATAACAAGTTTTGAAATGTCAATGTTTTTCGACTGGTGACCTGGAAGCTTTCAAAATGATCAAAGGTTTGAGAAGTTAGATGGTAAAATATTATTATCCTCATTACCAAGGCAGTAACAAAAAAGCATGGAATCAGAATCACCACTTGAAAAATGAATTGGAAAACACTGGATTGACTATGACAATGATGCAAAAGGAATTAGATAATTATTCAAAAGTTGTCTGAAACATATTATAAAGAAATACAGGATACACTCATCAATGAAACCCTTATTCTTGCCTTTGTTATTTCTAGACTTGAATACTCCAACACTCTCCTTGGCAGCCACTCACCTTACACCCTCTGTAATCTTGAGCTCATACAAAACTCTATTGCTTACATGAAACAAAGAACTATGGATGTTGGAAATCTGAAACAAAAACAGAAACTGCTGGAGAAACTCAGTAGGTCTGGCAGCATCTGTGGAGAGAAAGTAGTGTTAACATTTCGAGTCCCGTGACCCTTTTTCAGAAGAATTCTAAAGGGATTCAAAATGTAAACTCTGCTCTCTCTCCGCAGATGCTGCCAGACCTACTGTGTTTCTCTGGCAATATCTGTTTTTATTCCATTGCTTATATGATTGTCTACAGCATTCATTCATCACTACCATGCTTGCTGACATAAACACTCCTGATCTAAGCCCGGAATTCCCTCTCTAAATATCTCCACCTTTTGAACTCTCTTCTCCTCCTTTAAGATACTCCTTAAAAGGTTACCACTTTGATCAGGCTGTTATCAGATCCCGCAGCTCAGTGTCAAATTTTACTTGATAACATTGGTGTGAAGCACCTTGCAACATATTAAAAGTTGCTCAAGAAATGCAAGTTGCTGCTGAAACAGTGAGAAAATGTAACAAGCAATGAGACAACTTCAGCTAAAGAGCCAGCAAAAACTCAGTGATAATGGGATGATTGGTCTTCTCCTGTAATGACAATTCAGTAACTGTATCCACTGATGGCTATCAAAGTTATAGAGAACAGGACTTATCAAGCATGGGTTCACAATTCACAAGAGATTTTAAGGGATCTGCCAAATCAACATCCTTCAAGAACAAATCTACTTAAAGATCTCATTATGTGACATAAATTTCACTGCCCTGTTTCTGACACTTGAAGCACAACTCAAGAAATTGCACCCACCCTGAACATTGGAAAAAACAGAAGGTGAAGGAGATGTGCCACGATCTGTGAAGTTGGAGGACAGGTGACCTGGTTCTCCACTCCTGCCTTTTTGGAGTCCTTTTCTGGCAGATCGCATAGTCATGTTGCACTCCCACCTGTCATAGCTTGATTAAGTTTTTTGAAGAGGTGACAAAAACGATTGATGAAGGTGTTGTTTATATGGACTTCAGCAAAGCATTCAATGAAGTTCCACATGGTAGACTAGTTAGTAAACTTAAATCACATGGGATCCAGGGGAACTGGCCAATGGGCTACAAAATTGGCTTGAAGGTAGGAGACAGAGGGTAGTGGTGGAGGGTTGCCTTTCAGACTGGAGGCCTATGTCCAGCGGTGTGCCACAAGGACTGGTGCTGGGTCCATTCCATTTTGTCATTTATATAAATATGATTTGGATGTGGATATAGGAGACATGGTTGCTAAGATTGCAGATGACACAAAAATTGGTGATGAAGTGGACAGTCAAGAAGATTATCTCTGTACAATGGGACCTAGATCAGATGAGCCAATAGGCTGAGTTTAATTTAGGTAAATGTGACGTGTTGCATTTTGGCATTTGGGACAAGGTCAGGTTGGGATATCTGCTCAGCACAGACGAGTTGGACCGAAGGGTCTGTTTCTGTGCTGTATGATTTTATGACTATGTTTAAATTGATTGTGCGGTGCAAAGGTTTGAATTATATTTGTTGTCTGTTCTGCAGGGTAACAGTTGAAGAATTAACCAATTAACCAAAACCTGTTGACAAAGCTCACAAGTTTCATTTTTTTCTCAGCTGGCAGTTGGCCCCTGCTTATATATGGCAGCTATTCATAAATACCAAAAACTTAATATCTGAGCTTTTTATTACACACACATTTGCACTGGGAAGTAAGCTCATATCTGGTGGTCCAGTTATTATTCGTTCCTGAATTTGTTGCTGGCTTTTACAACATGACAGGAGCCTACAATAAAAGCAGTACCAATACTAAGTTTAACCTAAAGTAAGCAATGCAAAAATAATAAACGTGTCATTTGAAAAAGATTACTTGCATCATGTTCTATGTGTTCTGGAAGTTTTTAATGAAGTGGCGGGTTCCAAAAGCCAACTGGTGGATCCTTGTTATAGAACACAGAATACATAGTCATTGTAACAAGGTCAGCCAGCTGGACCTCAGAATGTAATTTCTCTGATTGGACCAGATTAAAGCTCCAATCAGGGAGCCCTGGCTGACATAAAAAGGTTGAGTGTCAGAGATACTGACACTGTAGTGCCTGATTCTGTATAAGGCAGTACTTAGTCAAGGATTGTTCATGCGTAAGTAAGATTTGGTGAAGGGATACCGGCCTCTATGTAGTCATTGTATAATACCCCAATTTACAGTTACTCACTTCATACAGCATGAAGCTGGAGGAATATTACAAAACATAACAGTTTTTAATGGACTGAACTCTCTATTTTAGCGTAGGATGATAATGCCTTTTTCTGGCCTATAATTGCAAACTTGCTCATAAAAAGGTATAGACTTTGTTAACCATTCTGCCCATCTTATTTATCCTAACTCAGTGAAACAGATATCCAAATGAGTCCCACTCACTTTCGCATTTTCTCTGCCTCAAAATCACACAAGCCACTAGAAACAAGCATCTGCAGGTTCTTCCCAACTGTGAAAAGAAACTCCTTTTTGAAGAAAGTAATTTTTTTTATTGAGTTGTTCATTGCAAACAGAGACAGGCAACTTTCCCCATTTATCAGTTAATGGAAAAGTTCATCCTCCCAAACAAAATCTTGTTACACCAACACCTATGGAAAAAGTAATCAACTTTATCCCCTTCAAAATATTTAAATATATTGACTGCTGCACAGATTGTGTAGATTGATGGCTTTTTAAAATTAATTCTCAGATGTGGCTGTCATGGGCAAGACTGCTTTTATTTCCCATTCCTAACTGCCCCTAAAAAAGGCAGTGGTGAGCTGCCTTCTTGAACCAATGCAGTCCAGTACTTTAGCGAAGGAATTCTTGGATTTTGACTAGCGATGTCAAAGAATGTCGCTAGACGTCCACAAAGATTTTGTTTTAAAGAACTCAATTCATTCCCGGAATACTACCCCACTCTCATTTGCCTTGAGAAGATGGGGGTGAGCATCCTTCTTGAATTAAACTGAGTGGACTGCAACATCATTTCAGATAAGAGCTAAGAGTCAACCAAGTTGTTGAGAGTCTGGAGTTATATACAGCACAGATCAAAGATGGACAGCAGATTTCCTTCTCTGGGAAACATTAGTGGCCCCGAGTGTAAAATTACATGATTGACTAAAAAAAAGTTTTTATTTCAGATTTATTTATATTTATTGAACTTAAAATTCCTAATTGCTGGGATTTGAACCTATCTCTAATCATTAGTCCACCCCTTTGGATTATCACCACTGAGCTAATGTAGCCCCAAACGTTAACCTGCAAGATTTACTTGCTGTGACCTTCTAAGGTCAGTTGGAAGACTATTTCTCCCATAAGCCCATGACAGCAAGTGCGTTTTGCAGAAGAAACTAACATGAAATAGCTGACTTTCATTTGGAAGTCTGCTACCTGAAGCATGAGAAACACATTTCAACAGATTGGGCAGTCTTCCATTACTAATTCAGTCACTTTCTCACTTGAAAAGCATTTAAATTATCCAGTGCTCCAAATGAAGCAATTCTAATCAAAACAGCAAATGAGGTCTTTTACTGCTAGGTTTTAACTTGCATCAGCACAATTTCAGTTAAGCAATTTTGTCTTTCTGATTTACATCTCTTTCAATTTTGCTCACACTGAGTGAAAAATAGGCCACTTCATCATTACAAAGATATGAGCTAAACATGAAGGAATGGTGGCATTTAAAGTAAATGTGACAGTTGACAGAGGTAGATTGATAGATTAAGTCCTTTACACCACATTTGCATCGGATCTCCTGGCCTGTACCTACTGTATGCTTGGTTTCCTCAGAGAAGCTGTCAAAATATCGCAGGGCCACGTGTTAGGGAAGGGAAAGAATTCACTTAAGAAGTCCGGTCTCTCAGATTTGACAGTTACTTACTCAACTTTATTCCAAATTGAAGAAACCTTAATGTCTCTTAGCAAGAATTCTCAAGTTCCTTCTTAAATCTGAGACTGTACCCAGCTTAAAGCACTGTGCACAGCAACCTTTTACAAGAAGCTCTGCTCAACTAATATAGAATGAATTCTAAGTGTCACATATTTTATATTTGAAATAGCAGCTCTGTAACATTGAAGCACTGACCTGAGCCTGTACATCATTAGTGAAAAAAGCTCGCTTCAATGCCTGTGTAAGTCCTCTTGTCATGTTCTGTTTAAGCATTATGTCTGCTCGAATTTTTCTTGATGTCACTGTCGCAACTGCAAAGTTAAGAAAATCTGTATAAGCTTAAATTCAAACAGAAGACAGTTCGAGGAAAAGATAACCGTGAATGTCTGAATGTGTCAATTCTCAACAGCTTCAGGTCTATGTTTTGTGACCTCAGGAAAGTATGTGAAACGGAATTTACATTTATCCCAGGTGCTCTTGAAACTGTACCGAAGTAGTCACAGATCTGTTGCAAACATATAACTTAACTGCAACCCACCACATGGAGGAGATATAATAGGCCAATGCAATGAATTGCACTTTTATTGCTAAATCAGAGGTAGTGGGTTCAAGCCCCACTCTAGAAATCTAGATTATAACAAAAATCAAGGCTAGCACACAGAGAGAGTGCAGCATTGTCCAAGGTGCCATCTTTCAGAAGAGACAATAAACCACACCCCAACTACTCTCTAGTGGAGGTAAATGATTCCATGGCACTACTTTGAGAAAGGCATGGAAGTCCCCAAATTCCAACGGAGAATGTGTAAAAATTAATTAGCTGGTCGTTATCACTTTGTGGAGCTTGCTGATTGCAAATTGACAAATTATGTTTTCTCCTATATTAAAAAAATCCCACACTTCAAAATGACTTCTTTCACTATAAAGCATTTTGAAATGTCCCGAGGTAGTGAAAAGTGCTGCAGAAACATAAATTCTCTCTATTTAGTTTAGATTTTGCCTGTTTCTCACCAAATAAATGAAACAGAGTTTGCTTGAGATCTTCTCTATATTATGTTCACAGAGACATTGACACATTGTTCCCTCTGGGACTGTTAAATTTATTCAACTTATCAGTTTACATTAGGCTGTTTAAGAAGTTTGAATTAATAATTATACTCATCAAAAATTAAGTGCTTAGTCTAGAAATTCTAAATGAAACACATTGGAATCTTTGCTATCACCCAACTACAAGGTAATTTAAATTGTTTTGAAATTGATACCAGTACTTTATTTAAATATCACTGCATGTGAGTAACAGGGCGTATTCACAATTAATATTGAACTAGCTGTATTCACGATGAATGTTGAACTCTCAACTTTAGATGCATCACTAACCTACATCCATATAGCATGCCGAATATAGTAAAATGTTCCACCACTTCTCAGGAATAATCATAAACCCAAATTTGACATCAAGCCTCAAAAGGTGACATTAGTAGAAATAAAGTTTGGTAGATTTGAAGGAAGTCTTAAAAAAGGAGCAGAGAGGAAGAGATGAAGAAGTGGGAAGGTTCAGGGAAAGAACAGGAGGGTTTAGGGACTGAGGTTACAGCTACCAATGGTGGTGTTAATGAAATACAATATACAAAAGGCCAAAGTTGGAGGTACAGAAATATCACAGTGGGTTGTAGAGACAGAGATTGCAGAGTTGACAGGGGCAAGGCCATAATGGGATTTGAGAGTAAGAATGAGACTTGTAAGATTTGTTGTGTTTCTCCATGTAAATATTTTTTGGCTAATGGTTTCTGCAGCACTTTTCACTACCTCGGGACATTTCAAAATGCTTTACAGTAAAAGAAGTGCTTTTGAAGTGTGGGATTTTTCTAATATAGGAGAAAACATAATTGTCAGTTTGCAACTGGCAAGCTCCAGCTAATCTTTTCTATCGTAAAAGCCCATCTGGTTCACTAGTGTTCTTTAGGGAAGGAAATCTGCTGTCCTTAGTTGGTCTAGCCTAGATATGACTTCAAATCCACAGCAATGTGGTTAACTCTTAACTACCCTCTGTCGTAGTGAGCAAGGCACTAAGTTCAAGAGCAATAAGGGATGGGCAATCAATGCTGTCCCAGACAATGATGCCCACATCCCATGAATGAACAAGTGAAAACTTCCCTTTAAACATACCTATGTTACTTGTCTCAACTAATCCACATGGTGACAAGCTCCCTTTTTTGGCTAAAGAAGTTTCTCCTTAATTCCCCAGTGGATTCATTATTGACTATCATTTAGTTATAATCCCATGGTTTTTTAATGCTTCCCTGATCAAGCTCCTTCATACTTGTAAAGACGTCTATCAGGAAACCATCCAGCCTTTTCTTTCAAGGCATAAAAATAGACCCTGGTCTTGTATCCAACACTTTTTAAATCTGAAGTTTCAACAATTCTGAAATTCTGCCAAGTGTGGGAAACTATTGTTTTCTCTTCCAATAAATTCCTGGGAGGACGATGTATTAGGGATGATTTCATAGCTTCTCCTCTGCAAATATGTATTAAACTTTCTCGAGAACTTTATCTCTTTAACAGAACAGAACTTTTTCAAACAAATCTAAGCTAGAATTATCTCATGGAAAATATTATGATAAAGCTAGGGATCATCAACTGGGAAAGAGTGGAATCTCTCCCAGCAGGAAGTAATAATAATTTCTAATGTTAATAACAGAAATTTTACAACCACATTCCTCCCCAAACCAGCAGCAGCTGGTTCCCAACAATTGGCTGAAAATCTGGTTTGACGAAGAGTCAAATCATTCTGATTCTAAAAAAAAGACAGAATTCTGTGTAGACTCAAATTAGAGGGATATGGCGTTTTAAAAATCAAGAACTGACTTTCATGTAACCACAGATTTAGAGATGTATCACTACCTGTCCTAACCCAGAGCTGATCTGACAACTTGCAGGTCAGACTAGGCAGCATGGGTAAGCCATCTGGAGTTCCAGCTGTTCCCTTGGCAGCAGTTGTCACATGGTCTCCTGATGCCAGTGTGTCCTTTGGTGCCAGGGCTGCCGTGGTGATTGAAGTCAAAGCCGCTGTCAACGTTAACGAAGGCACCATCGACATTTTGCCAGTCTCGGGGTGGGGATTTGTCCAGGCGCCCGTCTCCGTGGTGACCGTTGTCAGCGGCGTTGCAGGGGCCGTCCGCATTGGGCGTGGGACCACGGTTACATCGGGCACACGGGCTGATGCCACCCTGGATGAGGCTGGTCTTTGATGGGAAGGCGTTAAGGTTGTGCTGTTCACTGTGCTCGGGTGCCCCGTCATCAGGGCAGTTTGAGAGGCGGCACTTGACGCTGTGGATTGGTTGAGGGCATTCGCTGTCTCATTGAAACTGGCTGTTGATGGAGTTGGCCAAAGATGGGCTGTCAGTGATGTTGTCTCAGCTACCTCAGAGGCATAGTCAATCAGGGTCCTAAGAGAATCAAGTGCTGTGGATGGAGGTGATGGGTTCAGCGGTGTGGCTTTTGTGTCATCTGAGCTGGCCAAGGGTGAAGCTGTAATGACAGAATAAGAATCAGAGGTAAAATAACACATCCCTGTGTACATATACATGGATTATAGAATGACATGCAGGGTGACAGCATAGCTTCGCTGATTGGAGAAGGGATGGTTGTGTCATGAAAACTGCTATAACGTCCATCGGCTGGGAAGATGAAACATCTCATTTTGCAATGAATCAGTAAATACGAATCCTCAAGCTCCTGCTGCAGTGGTCTCTCTTTAGCAAGCTGTGGGAGCAATTGAATCCCTAATGGCTCATTTTGTGGTTTTAAAAATTCATTTGCATTAATTTGTGGCATTTGAGAAACACATCTCCTGGGGCGACAACTAACCAAAGGAGCAAGAGCAGTAGGCTCATGGCAACACCAATACTTCTAAGTATCCCTCCAAGCCACAAACCTATATCATTGATTTTTTTTATTGTTGCTGGGTGAAATGTTTGGAATTCCCTACCCGTGTCAATTGCCTTAATCAAGGGTTATTCTTGAGATTTTTTTTTAATGATTTCAGGAGTTCCTTATATATTCTTGCTAACCCACCTATGTGGTGCAGTCACATAGTAATGTTCTGTATATAAGTTGATTTATGGGATATTTGGACTCATACAGAAGTAGAATCAGAAATTTCTTATACACCACACTATTTAAATTGGGTTAAGTCAACAAGCATAACTTAGCAACAAAAATGTCAAAATAACAGACATTCTGTTAAATAAAGCAAATCCATCTCCCCAAACACACCCTTTGACAGAATGGTGAGGTACAATAAATATGTTTCAATTGCATTATTCGTGCAAAGCCGCAAATTTTTTACCAGGCAGCCACTACTATTTCTACTGCACCTCCGATCTCACACACACATTTAAATTTAACACTTGATACAACATTGATCAATAATGACATATATTGCCAAAGCTATTCATCTTGCATTCATCAAGACAATTCACTAGAATATCCATTTAAAAGGAAAACCAACAGTTTTCAGGCCAGTGAATTATCAGGTATATAGGTCATACATCATAAAGATTATATCAACAGCATATCCCTTTGGTTATTTGTGACAGGTGAGGTATTGACCATATGCAAAGAACCCATACTTGCCAATCTCACAACATAGTGCCCAACATGAAATGTGATTCCACAACTGGACAACATTTATTCAATAATCCTGAGTGTGTGAAGAATTACACTGACAACTAATTTGGGATTATCAGTTGGGCTCACACTGTGATACACTATACCAGGAACTACATATTTAATCCAGGGCCCTGTTCTTTGCAGACAGAAAGTACACGTGTATACCCTGTCCCTGTCTCAACTCAACAAAATAGCTCATAGTGATTCATTTCTTGGGGCAAATTCTTAACCAATCAGACTCAAACAGTTTGACTTAAAATTTAAGAAGGCCTTGCAGTTAACTGTCAATTGTCATTAACTGGTGCATTCTGCATGGTGATGTCCCCATCAATTAAAGTTCACTTGCCAATCAATCAGCACTTACTGCCCCAGTAGTCACTGACTGCCAATTGGAAAAAGACCACTTTATTCCTGACAACTGTTTCCAGTCTACCGATACTTGCTTGCTCCTTGCAGTATCCTTCTATTTCTAACATTCACGACACATCCCCGCCGCACCTTGCAGATGATACAGCAAAACCACCCACCCCTAACGTTGCCCCCACCTCCCCTCGACTAACCACCCCAGGACTCCAACCTGGCCAAGAGAAAGTCAACGACACAATTACCACAGCCACTTACCTTCCCAGCTTCCATCCCATTAAAGGTTTCTCTCCTGGTTCACTAGAGAAACTATGATTGAATGAGTATATAGGAGTAAGGAGTATGTAAGCATGGCAGAGCAACTCCTCACGCATTATGTCTCCCTCATGTATGAAGTCAAAATGTCTTTGATTAGTCACCAGCCCAATAGATTTTTCCTGTGTCTTTCAAGGCTTTCGGAGGCAAATTTGCCCATTGCTTCCATATATTATGAGTACTGCTCCCTACCTACCTGCACTGTGCAAATACTTTCAACACACAGGCTGCATTAGTTGATGTCTCAGCTTCATCACCATCAGGCAAACAGAGGATCGGCAATAAATTCCATCTGTGCCAACTACATTCACATCACAAGATCGAATTAAATAGAGTATAGGGCTTGGTTCATAAAGCTGGCTGAAGGAGTTTGAACGCTGGAAGACAATTGTTCTTTCCAATGTGTAGAGAAGAACAAAGTTGGACATTATGAACAAACACAGTAACCACGTTGAACGAATGAGGTCGGATGCAATTAAAAAATCTGTACTGTTTTATGAAGTCCTTCCGTCGTCTGTTTAATTATTGTGTCACTAAGTTTGACTGCACTGAATGGCTATTTTAGAAATACAAATGGTTTGTAGCTTTGTTTATGCTGGAAGGGGTTTGTCTTGTCAGAATTGTGGATTTAAGTAGGTGTTGTGTTTGGCCATTAAACCAGGTGAGAAAGATAAAAGGGACTTGTATTTATATAGCACTTTTCGTGAATTCATGGAGTCTGAAAGCAGTTTGCAAACTACTGTAGGGTAGTCAATGTTGTAACGTAGGAAACACAAACAAATTTTACAGTGCAAGCTTAATGTGATAATAACCAGTTAATCTATTTTAGTAATGTTGCCCGACCAGAACAATATAGATACATCCCTGTTCTTCTGCAATAGAGTGCCCTGGAATCTCAGAAGTGGACAGGGACCCCTCAGTTTAACATCTCATCTAGAAGCCAGCACCAACAACATGCGTCAACCCTGAACTGCCAGCCTTAATTTGATGTCTAAAGACTCTTGTTTGGGATTTGAGCTCAATCTTCTGAGTCAGAGGTGACAATGAGAACAATAACCCACAGCAGACATTAGAAACGGAGATAATCTTTGGGCTCAAATAGTTACAAATGATACCTTCAATGTGGCTGTTAAAGGGTATGGACATGAGTTACCACTGTAATATCAGAGAACATTATTAGATACAATGATTATCAATATACTAAATGAACTGGTGGCCAGTATTGGTGATACTGTTAATGAAGGAGTCACATTCTATACTATACCCATTTATTCTAGTGATTTAATTTCCATCATCAGTGTCAATAACTGTGGCCAGAGATGGTTTGAGAGCTGGCGGAGGTGGAGATGAGATGTTTTACACACATTGTGCTGTTATGATCTGGAATGTTGCAGTGCACTGCCGAACAGTGTGGTGAAGTCATCTCACTTTTTGGCAACTTTAAGGAAATTGGATAAATACTTGAAGTGAAAAGAATATTGCAGAGCTCTATGGGGAAGGAGCAGCGAGAGTGGCACCAATTAGTCAAAGAGCCAGCACATGAGTGGAGGGTGAATGGCCCCCGTTTCTAATGAACTAGGATGGTGAGAGATCTTTTTGATCATTAGTTGATTGTCCATTCAGATAGTGAAGAGAGCTACTGTCATCTCTAACCCAGAACCCTCACTTGCCGACGTCCTAATCCTTTCCCTCCATGACTTTGAGGGCCTGGGCCTCTTTAAATCTGGGAAATAAGCCTCACAGAGATGAATAAGTGTCCCAGTGTAGCTCTCCAGATTGAAACCTCAAGATTGTGCCAATTGGCTGCCAGTATATTGAGTCCTGGGGAATCGATGGAGAAAGAAGGCAGTTGAGGGAAGGCCGGGTTTGATAGATAAGGGGGAGGATAGCCATCACCATAAACAGCAAGGGTAACAGTGACTATGAAAATAACCTGAAACCTACCTGTGGAAGTACCTCCTAGCTTCCATTGCCCATAGAAGTGGATGGAGTGTAAGCACAGTGCAAGCTCAGTCCAGCCCTATCTACATCAGAAGATTTCCAGATTCAAAGGGAATTAGCATCTGAAATAGGTCACATTTTGAGCCTGACATTTTCCAAAATGATACTGATCACATTCCAGCACTAATGCAGAAAGAAGAATACTCACTCCAATTAACACCAAGGCAAAGGCATGAAAATGGACCTCCTCTTAGCTGGGAATTCTAGAACTGCTAAGATTGTAAAGAAGAAATCATATGTCATTGACTTTTTCTTCTTTTGGGTGAGAATTATTCCTGGTGTCAGCGATTTGAGATGGTGATCTCTTGTATCAGACTCCTTCTTATGTGTGTCAGCTGTCAAATTAGAAACTGGCATTAGGTGCCTTGAATATGCCAATTGAGTGTCTACTTAAAAAGAATAAAAGTTACAGGACTATGGGGAAAGAGTGGGGTGTGGAGGCAGATCATTGGACTATCAAATGCTCTTTCAAAGACCCTGCACAACTATGATGGGCCGAATGATCTCCATCTGAAGTGTTACATTTCAGGACCCTGCACAGAACAGCAGGTTCTGATGAAGGTGACACAAAGGTGATGGTTTTTAGAAAGTGTAACTGTTCAGTCGGGATTATGGGAGGAGTCAGTGACTGGCAGTATAGAAAGGAAAAGGTGTGACTATAGTTCAGCTCTTTACTACTTTGAATAAGAAAGACTAAGCCAAGAATCCGTGAGGTGGATGACAAGTGAGATAATAAATTAGAAAGCTAGAAAGAAATGATTGAAGGGGGTAACCTGATAGAGATTGTTTAAGCATTCATAGAATCAGTGTACATTGATCCAGCACATAAGGAAGCCATTTGGTCTATCAGCCATATGCTAGCTGAAAAACAGCTATCCAAGTTAATTGTACTCTCCAGCTCTTGGTCCACAGTCCTTTAGGTCGCAGCAGTTCAACTATTTATCCTAGTGTTTTTTTAAATGAGATGAGGGGAATGCCTATTCCACCATTCAGGCTGTGAGCTGCAGTCCCACCACACATTGGGTGAAAACATTATTCTTCTAAATTACTTCTGATTCTTCTACTGATTACTTACACCTCTGGTTCTTGACCTCCCAACAACAACTTATATTTATACACAACCTTTAATGCAATGAAATATCCTTAAATTCTTCACAGGAGCATTTTGAAGCAAAATATGATATTGAACCGCAGAAAGACATGGCAGGTCGAGCGAACAAAAGCTTGGTCAAAGAAGTAGGCTTGAAGGTAATGACTAAGAGAAATAGGGAGAGCTGGAGAGGTTTAGGGAGGGAATTCCAGGGTTTATGGTCTAACCAACGATGGCACCATTAAAATCAACGCTACTCAATGGGGCCTGTATTGGAGACCCTGGGGCAGAGTGGGGGGGGGGGGGGGGGGGGGGGGGGGGGAGTTGGTGGGTGGTTGTTGTGGTGTTTGAGGGCATGGAAGAAATAACATAGATAGGGAGGGGCAAGGCCATAGAGGAAGTTGAAATCAGGGATGAAATTTATAACATGAAACAGTTGCTTGAAAGGGAGTCGATTTAAATGAGTGAACGCATGTTTGTAGAAGACTTGCTGCAATTAGGACATGGGCAGGTGAATTTTGAGTAGCCTTAAGTTTCCGGAGGATAAAATGTGAGGAATCCAGCCAGGTGCTGTTGGAATAATTGAGTCCAGAGGTCAGAAAGGCATGGACCAAGGTTTCCACAGCAAATGAGCTGAGGCAGGGTTGAAGTTGGATGAAGACTGTTGAAGATACTAAAGAAGAATATCAACACCAGCGATTAATGATGAAGAACTCTAGCACAAAGTTGAGCTAGAAGCAGGTCCTGTGGACTTGGATGAAGGCAAGTTAGAGAAGATCAATGGCAGGATACTTTTTGGTTTACTTCTGGGCCCTATTGATAGATCAGTGGTCAGGACAGTGGACATGGGGCCCTTGTAATCTACTGTCAAACTATGAGCAGATAGCGATGTTGATGAACAGATTAGGTATAGAAAGCCAGATGCAGTAAACAAAGATGTTTCGGAAGGTGCTGCAGCATCAGCCATAAACTAAATTGGTAGAGGTCCGAACGGAGTGGGAAAGATTGGATTTAGAGTCAAACCTGAAGACGCTTTCGGTTGATGGATCACCACCATTCTCCCAGTTGGTGGTGACGAAATTAATAATTCAGAAGTACGCCAGGTTTTGTAAGTTTCAGTATCAAGAGAAGGCTGAGGAGAAAGTGTTGCTCCTGATGTTGTTATATCCATGGCAGTGTTTCTATTCATCTGTGGAGTTGTCATCACTTGGAATGTAAGAGGATTACTTTGTATGGTGGCAGTTTCCTCAACTGACTCTGTTGCTGATGCTTTGGTGTGCGGAGAAGAACGCAGGTAAGAGGACAATGTTCGCTGACGTGGAGATCCGGAAGTCCAAGGCCACCCTGGAGTCAAATGAGATGTTTCTAATGGTCGTTGTACAGGAGGAGACAATGGTGTAGAAAGGTCTAAAAGCTGGTAGATCATCCCAGGTCCTGTAAGATAGGCAGTATTGGATTAAAAATGTGTGACAATTGCTTTTACCTTTACTATGTTGGCCAGGACTTAGGATAGCTTATTGCACTCTCTAAAATATTATAAGGCATTTTAAATGTAACTAAACAGGCAAAAACAGCCTTTTGGCTCAACAAACTAACATAAAGAATCATAATATCATGCAGTACAGAAGGTCAGCTCAATATGCTTGGGCCGGCTCTTGGAAAGCTTTACCCCACTGCTTTTTTCCCTGAAAAGGTTTCGACTTAAATATTAATCTAATTCTCTTCTGAAAGTAACTATTTAATTTGCTTGGATTTGACTTGTAACTTAAATTCCAACAGGACAACTATTTTTAAAAACTAAAATGGACCATCACACATGGCAAGAACTTTTAACCAGAAGGACAGAAAGGTTTGTTTTGGTCAAGGGCTGAAAAAAATGAAAAATCTGAAATAGGAGTTTAACCTGGCCCAAACTCACCACTTTCAAGGACAGGACTGAGGGGAGGACAACCAATCCAATCTCAGAAAGTGGATTGGTCATTTAAATACTTTAACAAGGCTGTGTGCCTTCATTTTAACACTGATACTATTGCTATTTATGCAAAACTTATTGGTCATAGTTTAAAGTGTCTCATTTACTTGAAGTTAAAGCAGTATATCCTGGAATGAGGGGCGAAAACAGAAATTGATGGAAAAACTCAGCAGGTCTGGCAGCATCTGTGGAGGGAAAGCAGAGTTAACATTTTCAGGTCTGTTAACAGATCCAATGACCCTTCTTCAGAACAGATGGTAGCTAGGAAAAGGTTGGCATTTATGCAGAAAATGGGGTGGGGAAGGGGAGGAGTAAATGATAGGTGGAGATAGAGCCCAAAAGAGAGACAGAAAAACCAGTTGGACAGACAAAGGACTGGATAAAGATCAGTTTGGGAGAATGACTAGCTACTAATGAGGACTATTAGTAGCTGACAATAGATTGTGTGTGGTAGCAGCCCATGTGATGACAAAGCCTGGTGTTTGGGGTCAGGGTAAGGACATGGGAGAAGGTGCTCAAGCCCTAAAATTGCTGAACTCGATACTGAATCCAGAAGGCTGCTCATTTCCTGAACAGAAAATGATGCTTCCCTTCTTCTAGTTTGCGCTGATCTTAGCTGGAGCACTGCAGCACCCTGAGACAGAGATGTTGGCCAGGGAACAGGGTGGTGTGTTGAAATGGCAGGCAACTGGAAGGTCAGGGTCTTTTTTGTGGACAGATCGTAGGTGTTCTGCGAAGTGGTCACTCAGTCAGCAATCTTTTTCCCCATTGTAGAGCAGGCCACATTATGAGCAGCAAATACAACGGACTGGATTGAATGAGGTGCAGGTAAAGCGTTGCTTCACCTGGAAGGTGTGTCTGGGACCTTGGGTAGTGAAGAGGGAGGAAGCAAACTGGCAGGTGTTTGCAAGGGAAGGAGCAATGGAGATGTGGGGAAGTGTTGCGAGTAGAGGAGGAATGGACCAGGGTGTCCCGGTGGGAACGGTCCTTGCGGAAGGCTGACAAGGATGGGGAGGGGGATGTGTGTCTGGTGGTGGCATCCCACTGGAGGTGGCAAAAATGGCAGCTAATGATCCTTTGGATGTGGCTGCTGGTGGGACGGTAGGTGAGGACCAGGGGGTTGTTGGGGGGGTGAGGGCAATCGCTGTTATGAGAGGGAAGAGAGGGGGTGAGGGCCAATGTTTATTACAAATATATCTATTTTATTCTCATGCAAATTAAGTGATTTATCCAGTACTGTATTTGGTTTAAAAATGGCAAATTTTTGACTTGCAACTTCCAAACATTTTCATCCTAGGTAATTTCATTTATTTTTAAAAGAACACTTCAGTTCAGGGACTGCAGATACATGGGAACCACCAACACCTGCAATTTTGTCTCCAAGTCACATACCATCCTGACTTGGAACTGTATCATCCTTCCTTTACTGTAGCTGAGTCAAAGTCTGAAATTGTCTCCTTAACAGCACTGTGAACATCCCAACATCACACAGCCTGCAATAGAGCAAAATATTTTCCCTGTTTGGGAAATCTAGAATATTAGCTCAGTCTCAGAGTCATGGGCAAGTAAGGTAGGGCTGAGATGAAGAGACATTTCTTGAAAAGGTGGTAAATCTTTGGAATCTCTGGTCCTCACCTACCATCCCACCTGCATTCACATCTACAGGATCATTAAATGCTGATCTTGCTAGTTTCATCCTGAAAATTATTGTTTTTTAAGTGCCCTAGAGAAAACTGAAACTAAGTACCCATAGATATTTGGCAGGAAAACACTACCAGAAAATTCGGACCATTTATACAACAGTACGTTTCGTTCTAATGCAGGTAGTAGCATTTTGAGATAATTGCGACTTCAAAATAATTGTCACTTCCAGCAAGCCTGTCTGCTGGAAGCTTTCAACCTTTAACTCAGCCCAGTAACTACATCCATAATCATTTTTTGAACATCATACAGGCAGTCAGGCTTAGAAGATAGATTAATGTTCATGTTGGCTGCTGTCTTAAAAAATTAGTTTATAGATTGGAGGAGATTGTCTGACGCTAATTTTGTGTAGAGGTAAAGGTTTGTTCGGACACTCAATCCGATTCCCATTTGAATGGATATAAAATAGACCTGTGTTAAGAGTAAGTACCTTTCTGCTGCTAATTCAGCTAACTACTATCAGAAAACTGAAGGTAGCTGAATTTCTTCTTTACTCCCTTGTGATTTTGCAACTGAATTGCCCACCACATACTCTCCAAGTAGTTAGTAAAACCATTATATACTTGCAATTCTTTCAACTTCGTACAATATATTTGCTGCTCACAAAATGGCGTCTTGAGCTCAAATCCTGAAATTCAACGCCAGTCAGGAGGGTGAGTCTACCTACAGCACATGGACTGCAGCAGTTCAAGAAGGCAGCTCACCACCATCTTCTCAAGGCAATAACTGTTGGCCCAATCAGTGACATCCACGTCCCATCAATTTCTATTTTGTAGAGACTGAATGCAGATCACTTCAAAGAACACCTCTACTTAGTCCACAAACTTCACCACAAGATTCTGGTTATATGTCATCTTAATTCTCCATCTTGCTCCCACTCTGTCCTCTGCCTCCAGTACTGTTCACACAAAGATCAACACAAATTTGAAGAACAGAGTATCACTCCTCATTTAGGCATTGACTGTCTTCAGGACTTGACATTCGAGTTCAACAATTTCAGATCATAAACTCTGTCCTCTCTTTCTACAACAACAGTAACTTGGAATCATTCTGCTTTTCAAATGCACATATTCTCTAGAACCATCTTCTATTTCTTCATTCATCCCACCATTACCACCTTGCAATATTGTCTCTTCTGCTATTTCCTCTCTCCTGCCCTCCACTATATCTCAGGTTTACCATAGTGTTCTTTACTACCCTCCCAGCTTTCTCTGACTCTGTACTTTCTCAAAATGTGTAACAACTCTGATACGTTCCCTGTTCTGAGCGAAGGCTACTGATCAAAAACTTCAGCCCTGCTTCTATCTCCAGAGATTCTGCCACGCTTAGTGAACATTTCCACTGTTACCTGTTTTTAATTTCGAATTCACTGACATCTAGCTGGAAATCACGTAATGTTGCCACAAGTGTTGTAACTGTTGCAGATGTATAGTACAATATCGAAAGACACAAAAATTAAACAAAGAACATGCTCAAACCAATGAGTACTGCATCAAAGGTGACCAGAATATATTCCGCATAATCCTATTCTGAAATAATACTTTGAGCAAAGAAGTCATGGATGACTTGTTGATCTACAATGAGCAACTGGTCATATCTAGATTCCTTAGATTCGATCTATTTCAGAGGTCATATCAGGGTCACTTAGGTATCAAAGCAACAAGCCAAACCATAAAATTCAGTTCGATGGTTAGGGCTCTCAAAGTCATTAAAAAATTCATTTTAAACATCCTTCCTGAAGGGAGTAAGGTAGAAGGAGGAAGGTTAAATTCTTGAAAAAGACTCTACAACTGTGATCTTGTGCAGGTGAAACTGGAATAGTGAGAAGAATGGACATGCTCATTTCTACAAGAATAATGGAACAATTATTCTGGAAACCGGCTGGATAGAGTAGTGAATTGGTATTATCTGATGACTCACCCAACCTAGTTGAATAATAAAAATGGAAAATTCAAGTTCTACACCTCCTCCAAGAGAGCTGAAAATAAGATCATGTGGACTGGTGAAACCAGCACTGTGCACACAAGATGATGTCTGAGACTTGGAGGCAGATGTCAGATAAGTCTACAGTTTATTGAACAGAGTGAAGGAAAGATCTCATGACAATCAAAACTACTGGCAGATGGTTCTTTGATACCTTCATGTCAAGCCTTATCTTGCAGACATATTTGTTAAACCAGTGCTCCTGTATGTTCACCCACATCCCACCTCCTGTAGTATGTAGCAGCTCCAATCCCAAATAAAACGAGATAACAATTCCAGACAGTGATAACAAAGGAGTGAGATTTGAGTCAGATATGGGGGAATTAGCACCTTCCAATGTTTTCAGCCCAACCTCACTCAACCAGGACTACAATTCAGAAACTAATGGCTTTGAAATAGGAGAATCCTGGGCTTCAAGGGCCGGGTCATGGTTATTATACAGTCTTCAGGCCATGGTTTGGACATTATGGTTTATAAGCTATAACTGTGAGCTCCTAATGCTTATTATGGTGAATTACACCTTCCTAAAGCAGTTATTAAATGGCTTTCATACATTACAGCCTGTATCTTTTGTTAAGTGCCTGAAGTGTTTTCACAGCCCTATAAACTGTTAATTAATTTACGTTGCTCTCTTAATGGTTATTCTCCCATGCCACAAATTTGGATAATTGATGGTCGACGCAAGCTTTGTGCCTAACTCGTCTTTAAATACTTTTCCACATTTGGAAAAGTAAACACTATTTTTGAGAAAAGCGGAAGTAGCCCTTTCAAAACTGCT